ATTGGATTGGAAGATTGTGATACGTTCCCGGCATGGAGAGCGGATCTCCAGGAGGGTTAGAGGACACATCTGCAGAGATGCCAAGGAGATCGGCTTTGACTAAGGCACCAAATTTTATAGAAATCTGAAACGTTTCCATTAGCTCTGTTCTAAATCGTTGTGGACGGATCCTCGTTGGAGTGAATTGCACATTTTTGGCTGCCAATTGTTACAATGTGTAGAGATTGGATCCATATTAGAAAATTTGTAACCACACACTGGACACCAAAAGAAGGGAGAGGATCTTCCGAAAAGAATAAAACTGAAAAAATACCTACCAAGTTATTACATCCCAGTTCCGAAACCCCATCAGAGTGTTCCAGCCATATCTTCGGAACCAACAATCTTGGCTTCAGATTGGAACATTGGATTGGATGGTTGTGATAGGTTCCCAGCAAGAAGAGTGGATCTCGGGAGGGTTAGAGGACACATCTGTAGAGATGCCAACTAGATTGGCTTTGACAAAGGCACCAAGTTTTGCAAAAATCTGAAATGTTTACATTCAATGTATGCTAAATAAGTCATTGTGACTGGATCCTCATGGACACCACAAGAAGGGAGAGGATCTACAGAAAAGAATAAAACTGAAAAAATACCTACCGAGTTATTACATCCCAGTTCCGAAACCCCATCGGAGTGTTCCAGCCATATCTTTGGAACCAGCAATCATGGCTTCAGATTGGATTGGAAGGTTGTGATACGTTCCCGGCATGGAGAGCGGATCTCCAGGAGGGTTAGAGGACACATCTGCAGAGATGCCAAGTAGATTGGCTTTGGCTAAGGCTTGGAAACATTTCCATTAGCTCTGTTCTAAATCAGTCGTTGTGGATGGATCCTTGTTGGAGTGAATTGCACATTTTTTGGCTGCCAATCGTTACAATGTGTAGAGATTGGAGCCATATTAGAAAATTTGTAACCCCACACTGGACACCAAAAGAAAGGAGAGGATCTTCCAAAAAGAATAACATTTAAAAAATATCTACCGAGTTATTACTTACAGTTCTGAAAACCACTCTGTTCCAGCCATATCTTCGGAACCAGAAATCTTGGCTTTAGATTGGAGCATTGGATTGGATTGGAAGGTTGTGATAGGTTCCCAGCATGGAGAGTGGATCTCCGGGAGGGTTAGAGGACACATCTGCAGAGATGCCCAGTAGATTGGCTTTGACAAAGGCACCAAGTTTTGCAAAAATCCCGAAATGTTTACATTCAATGTGTACTAAATAAGTTATTGTGACTGGATCCTCATGGACACCACAAGAAGGGAGAGGATCTACAGAAAAGAATAAAACTGAAAAAATATCTATCGAGTTATTACATCCCAGTTCCGAAACCCCCATCAGAGTGTTCCAGCCATATCTTCAGAACCAGCATTCTTGGCTTCAGATTGGAACATTGGATTGGATTGGAAGGTTGTGATACGTTCCCAGCATGGAGAGTGGATCTCCGGGAGGGTTAGAGGACACATCTGCAGAGATGCCCAGTAGATTGGCTTTGACAAAGGCACCAAGTTTTGCAAAAATCCGAAATGTTTACATTCAATGTGTACTAAATAAGTTATTGTGACTGGATCCTCATGGCCACCACAAGAAGGGAGAGGATCTACAGAAAAGAATAAAACTGAAAAAATATCTATCGAGTTATTACATTCCAGTTCTGAAACCCCATCAGAGTGTTCCAGCCATATCTTCAGAACCAGCATTCTTGGCTTCAGATTGGAACATTGGATTGGATTGGAAGGTTGTGATACGTTCCCAGCATGGAGAGTGGATCTCCGGGAGGGTTAGAGGACACATCTGCAGAGATGCCAAGGAGATCGGCTTTGACTAAGGCACCACATTTTATAGAAATCTGAATCGTTTCCATTAGCTCTGTTCTAAATCATTGTGGATGGATCCTTGTTGGAGTGAATTGCACATTTTTGGCTGCCAATTGTTACAATGTGTAAAGTGATTAGAGCCACATTAGAAAATTTGTAACCACCCACTGGACACCACAAGGGAGAGGATCTTCCGAAAAGAATGAAACTGAAAAAAATAACTACCGAGTTATTACATCCCAGTTCCGAAACCCCATCAGAGTGTTCCAGCCATATCTTCGGAACCAGCAATCTTGGCTTCACATTGGAACATCGGATTGGAAGGTTGTGATACGTTCTGAGCATGGAGAGTCGATCTCCGGGAAGGTTAGAGATCACATCTGAAACCCAGTTCTGAAACCCACTCTATTCCAGCCATATCTTCAGAACCAGCATTCTTGGCTTCAGATTGGAACATTGGATTGGATTGGAAGGTTGTGATACGTTCCCAGCATGGAGAGTGGATCTCCGGGAGGGTTAGAGGACACATCTGCAGAGATGCCCAGTAGATTGGCTTTGACAAAGGCACCAAGTTTTGCAAAAATCCGAAATGTTTACATTCAATGTGTACTAAATAAGTTATTGTGACTGGATCCTCATGGCCACCACAAGAAGGGAGAGGATCTACAGAAAAGAATAAAACTGAAAAAATATCTATCGAGTTATTACATTCCAGTTCTGAAACCCCATCAGAGTGTTCCAGCCATATCTTCAGAACCAGCATTCTTGGCTTCAGATTGGAACATTGGATTGGATTGGAAGGTTGTGATACGTTCCCAGCATGGAGAGTGGATCTCCGGGAGGGTTAGAGGACACATCTGCAGAGATGCCAAGGAGATCGGCTTTGACTAAGGCACCACATTTTATAGAAATCTGAATCGTTTCCATTAGCTCTGTCCTAAATCATTGTGGATGGATCCTTGTTGGAGTGAATTGCACATTTTTGGCTGCCAATTGTTACAATGTGTAAAGTGATTAGAGCCACATTAGAAAATTTGTAACCACCCACTGGACACCACAAGGGAGAGGATCTTCCGAAAAGAATGAAACTGAAAAAATAACTACCGAGTTATTACATCCCAGTTCCGAAACCCCATCAGAGTGTTCCAGCCATATCTTCGGAACCAGCAATCTTGGCTTCACATTGGAACATCGGATTGGAAGGTTGTGATACGTTCTGAGCATGGAGAGTCGATCTCCGGGAAGGTTAGAGATCACATCTGAAACCCAGTTCTGAAACCCACTCTATTCCAGCCATATCTTCAGAACCAGCAATCTTGGCTTCAGATTGGAACATTGGATTGGATTGGAAGGTTGTGATAGGTTCCCGGCATGGAGAGCGGATCTCCGGGAGGGTTAGAGGACACATCTGCAGAGATGCCAAGGAGATCGGCTTTGACTAAGGCTTGGAAACATTTCCATTAGCTCTGTTCTAAATCAGTCGTTGTGGATGGATCCTCGTTGCAGTGAATTGCACATTTTTGGCTGCCAATTGTTACAATGTGTAGAGATTGGAGCCATATTAGAAAATTTGCAACCACACATTGGACATCAAAAGAAGGGAGAGGATCTTCCGAAAAGAATAAAACTGAAAAAATAGCTACCGAGTTATTGCATCCCAGTTCCGAAACCCCATCAGAGTGTTCCAGCCATATCTCCGGAACCAGCAATCTTGGCTTCAGTTTGGATTGGAAGGTTGTGATACGTTCCCGGCATGGAGAGTGGATCTCCGGGAAGGTAAGAGATCACATCTGAAACCCAGTTCTGAAACCCACTCTATTCCAGCCATATCTCCGGAACCAGCAATCTTGGCTTCAGATTAGAACATTGAAATGGAAGGTTGTGATACGTTCCCGGCATGGAGAGTGGATCTCCGGGAGGGTTAGAGGACACATCTGCAGAGATGCCAAGGAGATCGGCTTTGACTAAGACTTGGAAACATTTCCATTAGCTCTGTTCTAAATCAGTCGTTGTGGATGGATCCTCGTTGGAGTGAATTGCACATTTTTGGCTGCCAATTGTTACAATGTGTAAAGTGACTGGAGCCATATTAGGACACATTGGATGCCAAACGAAGGGAACGGGTCTTTCGAAAAGTAAAAATGAAAAAAAAAAAAAAAAAAAGGATTAGATACTCAACTGTGTTATGACGTCCCAGCTTCAAAAACCCCACCAGAGTGCTCCGGCCGTATCTTCGGAACCAGCAATCTTGGCTTCAAATGTGAACATTGGATTGGATTGGAAGGTTGTGATATGTTCTCAGGATGGAGAGCGCATCTCCAGGAGGGTCAGAGGACACATCTGCATCCAGAACGGCCCGTACCTGGGAGAAGGTTCTGTTCATCGTTATCACAGCGCAGGAAGGAGATCACAGAGCCGCCGTCAGCTACGCCGCCATGAAATGGGTGAAATCACCGGAGGATTCCCATTCCGCCTGGAGGGAAAGTCAGAGATTTGTTCATCTCATCTGTGAAGAAGGAGACGTGCGCAGCCTTTACCCGTCAATAGAGAAGAAGGCTCCGCTCTTCTGATGAGATTTACAGCTGGAGGGAAGAACGGGGCCCTCGGGGGCTAAGAGACGATTATCTGAGACAAAGTACACAATGTTGGAAGAAGGATATACTATATATTTATGTTTTTAAAATGCCGTTTAAAGCACAACTCTGGAAGCGAGTTCTCCGAGGATGAAGGCCGAATCTTCGAGTTTTGGATTGTATCTCATATGTGGACTTCTTAGTGGGCACCATGAAGGAATTAAAGGTCAACTCCACCCAAGGGCGGACTGACAACTCATGGGGCCCCCGGGCAATAGGGGATCATGGGGCCCCTGTGTCCTTGCCCAAACTCAAAAAAAAGCCTATGAAAAAGGTACCAGGGGCATCTCATGGGGCCCCCTACTGACCCCAGGCCCTCGGGAAGTGCCCGAATTTCCAAATGGTCAGTCCGCCCCTGACTCCACCTCATATTGACTTCTTGGCTTTGTCTGCTTGCTGGCAAGTTGAATTACAACTTCTTAAAGGACACATTGGAGATCTCCCCATTGTGGGAGGGGCAGAGACACCAAATACTGCAGGAAATCTCCCCATTGTGGGAGGGGCAGAGACACAACTACTGCAGGAATTCTCCCCATTGTGGGAGGGGCAGAGACACAACTACTGCAGGAATTCTCCCCATTGTGGGAGGGGCAGAGACACAAACTACGGCAGGAAATCTCCCCATTGTGGGAGGGGCAGAGACGCAAACTACTGGGGGAAATCTCCCCATTGTGGGAGGGGCAGAGACACAACTACTGCAGGAATTCCCTCCATTGTGGGAGGGGCAGAGACACAACTACTGCAGGAATTCTCCCCATTGTGGGAGGGGCAGAGACACAAACTACGGCAGGAAATCTCCCCATTGTGGGAGGGGCAGAGACACAAACTACTGGGGGAAATCTCCCCATTGTGGGAGGGGCAGAGACACAAACTACTGCGGATATTTTTTTTTCTTAAAAAGAGTTTTGCATTCATCACAAAGTCATTTTCTCGTCTGGTGACATAATATCTGTATATAAGTAGCGAGGTCCATCCCCCCCATCTAAACGGTGAAGCCGGTGATTGTTCGGTCGGGAGTCGATGAAAGCGATCCAAGCTTTATTAGGAGCAGATTGATTGCTATTACAAGATTGAGTTGTATAAATATTAGCTCTCCTGCGGTTCCTATTTTTCCCTAATCTGCCAGAATTGCAGGAATTTTTGGCCCCGGCTGCACAAGGCGTTTGTTTTCTTTTACTTCTCCCGTCCAAATTATGACATTAACTGTTATCCTTTTTCCATTCGTTGCGTCGGTTTGGTTGTCGCTACCAGCGTGGGGGACCCGATCGTAAGACCGTCCGCCGTTCTCATACGGCGACTTCCACTTGGCGTCCCAAAACAAATCGCCAAAACTCAGCCGTGAAAGGCGGCAATATTTCAGGCAGGATTAAATCATTTACTAATGAGGCGTCAGTTCCACGACTGAGGCCGATCGACTTCTTCTCCCCCCCCCCCCGCGGTGGTGTCACGGAGAGAAACGCTTTTCATGACACGGAGTTTGTTCCCAGAATCTGCAGCAATATCTGGAAGCGGATCGGATTTTTATTCCCAGGCCGGTCGTTGGGAAAATTTGTTGGCGCATAAAATATCAGCCCGGCAATTCATCACCGAGATGTCACAACAAATTATCCGGCGTTTCCGCCCAGCGGATGACACTCGCGCGGATCGCGATGGTTTGTGTTTGCGAGTGGAGGGAACGTCGTCATTTCTTCCACAAAGGCTGCCTAGAGCTATTGATGCACTGCTGACACGCAAACGTGTTATGTGGGCTACCGTGGACCAGTGCCGGGACGAGGCCATCCGGTGCGCAGGGCAATGAGGCCAAAATGCCTCTCTCCGCCAGGATAGATGTCCGTGGCCACAACAATAACCCCCAGCATTGCTGTCAGTAGCCCACATAACCCCCAGCATTGCTGTCAGTGGCCACAACAATTACCCCCAGAATTGCTGTCAGTGACCACAACAATAACCCCCAGCATTGCTGTTAGTAGCCACAATAACCCCCAGCATTGCTGTCCGTGGCCATAACAATAACCCCCAGCATTGCTGTCAGTGGCCACAATAACCCCCAGCATTGCTGTCCATGGCTACAACAATAACCCCAGCATTGCTGTCAGTGGCCACAACAATTACCCCCAGCATTGCTGCCAGTAGCCACAATAACCCCCAGCATTGCTGTCCGTGGCCATAACAATAACCCCCAGCATTGCTGTCCATGGCTACAACAATAACCCCCAGCATTGCTTTCAGTGTCCATAACAATAATCCCCAGCGTTGGTGCCAGTGGTCACCATAATAGCCACCAGCATTGCTGTCAGTGGCCACAACAATAACCCCCAGCATTGCTGTCAGTGGCCACAACAATAACCCCCAGCATTTGTCAGGAATGGACTTGCCAATAGTGGTGGGACTCACCTGCCTTGTGGGCTGCAGTACCAGGGCTGGCCAGCAGGTGCTCTCAACAACCAGAGGCTCACTTTGGCAATTAGCCATCACCTGGGGCTGATTGCAGGTGGTGTATTTAACCATTAGCCGCCTTGGCGTTTGGCGGCTTCAAATGCGCTCCTGCACTCTGGGTGCACGCCATTTGGCGTGCTCCCGCACATGCGCAGTTTGCGCTAATGCAGAGCGGCGCAGCGGGGCGATCTGTCACCGGCCGTGTACCTCGGACACGGCCGATGAAAGATCTGAGTATCGGCTCCCGTTGCAGGTACCATGTGACCTGCTGTGACCAATCACAACAGGTCACATGACAGTTGTATACAATGGATGGCTTCATTCATGCCATCCATTGTATACTAGTGCCTAGCTGTGAATGGTCACAGCGATCACATGCACATGTCATGTGATTAGCTGTCACCAAATCACAGCTAAGCACAAAAAAAACAAAAAAAAAACAAAACCTGAATGAATCAATTTCATTCAGGTAAATGTTTGCTTATAGCAAAGTAATTGTTTGCTATAAGCAAATTGTGTAAAAAAAAAAAAAAAAAAAAAATACTGATCACTTCTCCAAAGTAGTACAGTGTTACTATGGTAACATTGTACTACTTTGGTCATAGTAAAATATGAAAAAAAATCTTAAAAAAAAATAAAAAAAAGTAATAAAAAATTAAAAATAATATAATATAATAATATATATATTTTTTTTTCATACTGTCACCAGTCAGTGTCCCTGATCACCGCCATGCCAGTTATATGATGACGCTGTACTGCACTGGTGACAGTATGTAAAAAAAAAAATAGTGAAAATAATTTTTTTAATTTTTTCATTTTCCGAAAAATTATGACAAAAAAAAATACAACTTCAAAAAATTTGCCATTCCTCTTATGAAGTACGTCGGACTGTCTACTCTGCAAAAAGGGGTCATTTGGGGGATATCTGTACTGTGCTGACATTTGGGGGATATCTGTACTATTCTGACATTTGGGGGATTTCTGTACTATTCTGACATTTGGGGGATATCTGTACCGTCCTGACATTTGGGGGATATCTGTACTGTCCTGACATTTGGGGGATATCTGTACCGTCCTGACATTTGGGGGATATCTGTACTGTCCTGACATTCTTGGGCCTCAAGAAATTAGATTGGCCGTCAGTATTTCAGGATTGATCAATATTCAGATCTATCCCATAATTTGTGAACTCTATAACTTTCCTACAAACTAAATAATACATCCTAATTTGGGTTATTTTCACCAAAGACATGTAGCAGAATACATCTCGGCCTAAATTTATGAAGAACAATTATTTATTTGTAAACTTTTATAACAGAAACAAAGAAAAAAACGTGTTTTTTTTTCAACATTTTTGGTCTTTTTTTGTTAATTTAGCAAAAAATAAAAACCCCGGCGGTGATTAAATACCACCAAAAGAAAGCTCTAGTTGTGTGAAGAAAATGATAAAATTTTAGTTTGGGTGCAATGTTGTATGACCGCGCAATTGTCATTCAAAGTGTGAGAGCGCTGAAACCTGAAAAATGGCCTGGGCAGGAAGGTGTAAAATTGCCCGGTATGGAAGGGGGGGGGGGGGGGAAGAGTGCCCGGTATGGAAGGGGGGGGGAGAGTGCCGGTATGGAAATGGTTAAGGAATGGCCAGACCTGCAGTCGGTGCCTTGTTGTACTGTTTGCTTAGTCCTGGTTTCCTGATCCTGTTCCTGCTGTCCTGATGCTGCCTGAACTCTGCCTGTACTGACCTCGGCTAGTCCTGACCACTCTCCCGCCTGCTCCTGGTACTCCGTTTGCCCGTTTGTTGCTGACCGGCCTGCCTGACTACTCTTGTATCCTATGTTTGTTTATCTGTGGGTGGTTTGGTTCAGTTTGTTTTTGCACTGCGTTTGTATTGTTAGTCTTAATAAATTATATTATTTACCATATCTGAAGCCTGCGTTTCCCTGTGTCAGTCCACACACTTCTGGTCACACCCGGAGCCCTGACAGCATTGCTGTCAGTGGCCACAACAATAACCCCCAGCATTGCTGTCAGTGGCCACAACAAGAACCCCCAGCATTGCTGTCAGTGGCCACAATAATAACCCCCAGCATTGCTGTCAGTGGCCACAACAAATAACCCCCAGCATTGCTGTCAGTGGCCACAAACAACAATAACCCCCAGCATTGCTGTCAGTGGCCACAACAATAACCCCCAGCATTTTGCTGTCCGTGGCCACAACAATAACCTCCAGATTGGTGGTCGGTACAGTGCTATTTACCTCCCCCCTCATTGGTAGTTTGGGCAAGGATGCTAACCCCCAATAGTTGGGGTATTTAAAACATCCTTCCTTGCCCATTGGTGACCAGTGGCGTGTTCATTGGCCCATTTCCCCCAGCATTTGTTATCAGTGGCAATAATAACCCCCAGCATTGGTGTTAGTGGACCCTGTAATAATCCCCTGAATTAGTGGTCAGTGGCACATAACACGTAAAACCCCAAAGGTAAGACCCCACCAGGTAAGACCTAACAGGTAATACTCCCCAGGTAAGACCTCAAAAGGTAAGACCCCAAAGGTAAGCCTCCACCAGGTAAAAACCCCACCAAGTAAGACCTCACCAGATAAGACCTAAACAGGTAATACTCCCCAGGTAAGACCTCACATGTTAGACCCCACAGATAAGACCCCACCAGGTAAGACCTCATCAGGTAAGAACCTTCACCAAGTAAGACCCCACAGGTAAGATTGAACCAGGTAAGACCCCAAAGGTAGGACCTCACCAGGTAATATTCCAGATGTAAAATCCTACAGGTAAGGCCTCACATATCAGACCTCAGAAGTTAAACCTTACCAGGTAAGACCCGACAAGATTCCACAGGTAAGACCCCACAGGTAAGACCGAACCAGATAAGACCCCACAGGTAAGACCCCACAGGTAAGACTGAACCAGGTAAGTCCCAAAGTCTGGGATTATTACCACCACTGGTCATGCAAGCGGCGATCCTCTCCTACATTCCCAGTGACAGTAGAAATATCTGGACACCCGATCTGCGTCGTATTCCCCGATCGATCGTTTGGAATATTTGTTGGCTCAGATATCAGCCCAGCAATTTATCTCTGAAATGTCACAACAAATTCCGCCCAGCAGACGACACGCTCGTGTTGGTTTGTATTTCTAAGAACACAAGTGTTGTCACCTCTTCATTGCCCCACAATGTATACGGCCTGTTTATAGAGGAGGGCGTCGTAGAATCGAGGATCTCTTCATTCTCCTGAACACACACAGGAAGATCCGTCCAATCTGCAGGATCTAGTTTATGGATCCAGATTTTCTGGACTCTTCAGTGGCGAGATTCCCTGAAGATTCAGAGTCATCGCCATGGAAATATTCAGAAAAATCAAAAATCGATGAATGGTCGAATCTCCTGATGAATGATCCCTATTGAGGGTGGTTGGCAACATTGTTTCTCTTCAAT